TCAAAGCCAGGAGAAGTCGGCATGACGTCCAGTACGGAACTAAAAATGAAGTTATACTTTGAATGATCTACTATGTCATTCTTGAACAGCTAGGTGCTCTCTCATAGAAATGTCGATAATACAGCTAGGATGGGCGTACGCCAATCAAATATGCAGTTATTACCACGCTGACCTGGTCGCCATAGAAACGAAAGCAGAGCACGTGTATCTCAAGACTAGGATCCGGGGAATGCAGGGTGAGTGTGTCCAACATCGAGTTGTCCGCTCTAAGATCCATCTTGTTGTTGCAAGAACACGTTGCTTTGTGGGGTCAATTCAGACGAGCTCTATTTTGGAACGAGCATCAGGTTAACTTGCGTCAGTAATGTTTGGATAAAATGATAATGGTATGACATATTTTTATTTCTTTGTGAAATATATTGATTATATATTGATTATTGATTTTTCTGGATATGTCTCTCTTGTTCTCTCTCTCTCTCTCTCTCTCTCACACACACACACACACGCGCGCACACACATACACACACGCACGCACACACACAAACACGTCCTTGACTATGCAATTTTAACATGTAACCGCAATGTTATATTTTACATTTGCTTTACCTAGAAAATCTGGATTTGTCCGGCGCTTGCTGTGGGGATTATTGGAGGTCAAGCAGCATGAAGGGTCGAAAATGGTGGACCAGTAGAAAAAAGTGAACGGCGAGTGGGTGTGGACCGCCGCCGGTGCCACATTAAACAGCGCGTACTGGGGCTTTGCCGATGGTGAGCCAAATCAAGTAGGAGATGCTGCGTCTTGTCTTGGATTATACGTACCGGATAACGATTTTAATGACGTCATGTGTGACGTCAGTTCGTATTGCGAGCACTACGGATTCATATGCGAGAAACACGTGACTTCCTTGTAAACGTTCAGACTCGTTATAAATTGACATTTAGACATCCATGATAAAAAAAACAGTTTCTCAAGAATTATAGAAAAAGTGGTACACAAGTATGTGGTTTGACGGTGTAAAGAAATTTATAAAACAAACCTACATCTACTCTAGAATGAGAAGCTTCAAAACCATTTTGCATATCATTTGTCAACGTGTAGTCAACATTGCTACAGCTGTAACTACGGGATATCGTCTGTATGCAGCCTTCGGCGCTGTGCTTTGGAAGAACTCGTAGGACATTGTGATCAACTTGGGAATTTTGTAGATAATTTCTCTTGGCAGAATACACCTAAACTTAAATACTTATCTAGAAAAGTTAACTTACGATGGAAATTTTATTTTAACGAGTTTCAACGCATTGTATTTGTGTGAATATTGCTGTGTTATTTTAACAAAATGTCATCTTGGTGTGAAATTTGTGACCTAATGAATTATTCTGTGAGGCGTGGTAATTAAAATCTTTTATAAAAAAAGTAACCAGTCGCATATGGAGAAGAGAACGTACAAATAAATTTTCCGTTTCAATAAAAGTATAACAATTCTTGACTTCCACAATCCAAGGATTTATATTACTATCTGCCATGTTAGATAGCCATTAAAAGGAAACTTGCTTTTTTATACCTGTAGTACCCTGGTTTAAGACATTTAAGCAATATTTGTTACTGTCAAAGTCAAAAACCAAATCATAATTTTGCACAACAGGTTACACGAATGTTAGGAATACGTAACTATAGCTTAAGGCTTTATGCAGGAGCCTCTGTTTAAAAGGTATGTCATGAAAGGGATACTATACTTGCAAGTATTAAAAAAGAACACGCGAACATGACTTAATTTATAAACAAAAACACGTATTTGCTTCTTCTGCTTCACCTTGCAAACTATGGCGACACTGATGTTTGTACGCAAGGTCAAAACGTTCATCGTGCCAATAAAACCCATCAGGGACAGAAAAACTCGACACGACGTCCAGTATGCAACTGAATGTGAAGAAATACCGACGACATATACATGTACATGTTCATAGCAATGTATTACACATTACAAAGATAGGAGCTTCAAGAAACGAAACATACTAGTCAATTATCCTCTTCCAACAGTTCGCCGAATGTTCTAGGCCCGGACCTTGGAGGGACAAAGTAAATTGCGTTTTTCAAAAGTTAGGGTATATTCCAAATAACTTACCACCTTAAGTTTATACGCACTGGCCACCACGTAACATTCGATTTTAACCTTGACATTCTTTCTTACTTACCATTTTGACTTTTTAGTTTAGGTTTGGCCACATTCTCTGCAGTTGTCATGTCAGATATCGTAAAGACATTGGTGGTTTCTTCTGCTGGCGTCATAGTGTTTTGTTCCATTTTTCTGACAAAATTGCCCGAAGATTCAACGATCGTTTGAAGCAATCAAAAAATATTTGGCGTCACCAAATAAATGATCAGTTACTGTATTCACCTACATTTTTCACACATTGGGTTCTCTTCCGATGTTCATGTCTACGCGTATACTGTGATTGTTAATTGTCCTATAGAGTTTAAACTCTGATCTAGAGTTACATGTAACTTCAACTGATATGAAACAAAAGTAAACTCAACGGAGTGATACTCTTTTGAAACTTTAATCCTGCATCGGATCATGCACTGCGGTAATGTAACGTTTCCTATTGCACATATTCCTTACGTCTTTCATAATGGGGATTTAAATAAAAATGCCTAAGGATTAATTGCCTTAATGCAAATATTATCGAAAGCAAGTCTACTGGGAGTATGTGACTAGAATTTACCCCATGTTGCAGTACAGAATAACACTAGAGTTATTTGCTTCATACTCACTGAATTTGTTCTACCCCGGTACAGAAACCCTTTGTATAGCAGTTTACATGCCATTTACAGTAGCATTTACCCTGCAGATTTGAAAGCTTGGGTTTCAGGATGCTTGACAAAGTATATAGAAAATAAAAAGTAACCGTACAGGTAAAATGTCAAAGACAATGCAGAATACGACGTTTAGTCTCTCACTGGTACCCTACACTGTAGGTTTTAGATTCCGGTATTGCCAGCTCGATCTTGATTTCATATATAACCCATATCAGCAATACCAGGCTCTAGCGAACACCGTCAAGCTGTGGGCCTTCTTCAAAATTTTGCCTGGGGCGCTTCCATATTTGGAAGTCACAAGTCTCGTACGTCACAGCGTTGCCCGCCTGGAGCTGCCTTTCCCGCCTTGCGCTGATGTTATCTCGTGCAGACGAGACAAGAACAAGGTGGCTGACGCGAAGTTGGAATTTTGAACTAAGAATATCTTGCAGTCGAAGGTCAGTACCACAACACAAGCAATATTCTGCTTAAAAAAAACTTATTTTTGTGTAGCCATTGCGCAGCCCTTATAGTGGTATCGGGCATACAGTGTAGCTGTCAAACTTGGCACACGGCAAGCACGTGTAATGTGTTTATATCTTCAGGAGCAAATGTTCTTTGTTAAGCAAAAAAAAAAAAAAAAAAAAAAAAAAGAAAAAAAA